GCATGACACTTAGCACTAATTCTTCTTTATCGGAGGAATTCCTAGGTCGGGGGCAGATTGACCTCGTGGTTTTTCTGTTTTTCATTCTCTGTCTCCTTGCTGTCTCTGGAACACAGCCTCTCCTTCAGCTTTAGCTCCACAGACCCTTCACCTCTCCCAGACACTTCACCTAGTTCAGGATGGATCCTTACTCTGTCTCACAGCTTCTCAGGAGAAAGATCCTAATGAAAGGATATTTTATAAAATACAATCATCCTTATCTCCTCACAGTCTTCTCCCAGGACCATGCCTGGGAAAGCTGTGGCCACAGGGGTGATGCCCCTCTCTCTCGTGTTGCTCTGCAGGGCAGTGCAGCCTCGCTGAGGGCCCAGGACTCCCAGAACCTGCTGACAGTGAGGAAGATCTCGGTGTCCCGGATGCATTCCCTGCCCAACGACAGCTACATGTTCCGGCCCGTGGCCCCAGCCACGGCCCCCCTGCCCCTGCACGAGGTGGAGATGGAAACCTACCCCTGCAAAGCCCAAAGAGGTACCACCCTCACAGATTGCCCTGCTCTGGGGCAAAGGTTTGGGTTCCTCACCACGAGAAGGATGTGGAAGGGCTGGAGTATGGCCAGGGAAGGGGATGCAGCTTGGGGGGCTCAGCCTGGAGAAGCTCAGGGGGAAACTTCTCATTCTCCACAAATCCCTGATAGGATGGGACAGGGTTGGGCTCTGCTCTCAGGGAACAGGGTCAGGATGAGAGGAAACAGCCCCAAGTTCTGCCAAGGGAGGTTTGGATTGGATATCAGAGAAAATTTCCTCACTGGAAGGTGTTCAAGCATCAGAACGGGCTCCCAGGGCAGTGGTGGGGCCATCATCCATGGGAGTGCTCAAAAAACCTGGGACTTGATTTAGCACTGGCCTTGGCAGTGCAGGATTGATGCTTGGGATCCATGGTCTTTTCCAATCTTTACAATTCCATTATTACACCCACAGTGGGGAGCAACCAAGCCAAGCATGGCCTGAGCAGGGCTGGCTCCTGTGGGGTTCCAGCAGCACCACAGTGCTTCCTTCCCTATATCCTGCAAAATTCCACCTTTCCATCACCTCCCCAATAGCAAGCTCCCAGGTTTTAGCTGAGAGGAAGGGAGCTGTGCATTCCCTCTGACTCCTGCCTGAGGATCAATAACATCCCCAGGAATAAAAGCCAGAGTTGGGACCGCTTCCAGCACAATTGCTCATGTTTCAGGCAGGCTGCAGCCTCAGGGCAGTGCCTTTCAGCAGCACACCTGGAGTTCAGAGCTGCAGGAGATTCTTTGGCAGCAGAAAGATCAGAAACCTCTCTCTGGTTCTTCCTGAGCCCAGCCTTGTAATCACTGTCATGGAGAGACCCCAAAATCCAGGAATCACAGAGCCTTTGAGGGGGCATTCATCTTCTGCATCCCAACACATTTCCCTGAAAATGCATTTCTGTCTCTTCTGTTGAGCTGCTTTGAAGGGAAAATTGTTGGAATTTTGGATGCTGAGAATTTTAGGTTTTTTATGTTGATTTTGATTTTTAAGAGAGTATTGTATTTAATTTGAAGTTGTAGAGGAAGTTTTTAAAAGTAAATTATAGAATTGAGATTATGAGTGTGTAGTTGGATTAGAAGTGTTTAATATTATGTAGTGGAAAATTTAGAGCTTAAGGTTTTAAAATATAGCGATATATGTAAAGTAAAATAGAGGTTTTAGGGTGGAGGTTAGGTTTTTTAAAATTTATTTTTAAGGGTTTGGGTAGTATTCTGTAATTGGATAGAAAAGTTTGTATTGTGGGATATGAGGGATTAGTTATGGGGCTAAAAGTAAAAATACAACAGGAAATTGATCTGAAACACAACTCTGCCTCCCTAAAAGCACACGTGCTCCTGGAGGGGCTCCCTAGAACTTTTCCCAGCCTGGTTCCCTTTGATCCAGCGTGGTTTGAAATGCCAGAACTGCCCAGTGGGTTCGCACACCCTGATTTGCTCTGATTTCCTTGGGAGAAGGAACTCTGTGTTTGTTCAGACTCTCTGGGAGCCAGGTCATGTTCTCTGCTCAGTGTTTATTATTATTTCACCTGCAAATTCCTGGTGAAGGAAAGAAAACAGAGGCTGAGTTTCACAGCCCCCTCCTGGGGCTGCTTTCCATCCCTGGAGTGGCTGTAAAGGAGGATTTATATCCATGTAAAACTGCTGGGGCGTTGGCAGGGGTGGGTACAACCCATCAAGGATTCTCTGATGTTTCCTAAATTCCTAAATTTCTCTCCAAGAGCACTGGAGGGATGAATATGATGGATATGATTTTTTTACCTGGTGGTAAAACCAGCAGCACCCTGAGCTGTGCTGCTCCTGAGCTGCCCAAACTCTGCTTCAAGTCACAGATCCAGAAATTATATCCAAATAAAACTGAGCCCATGGAGACTCCCATGAGTGTTTCCATGGGCTTCAGGATGTCTGATCTTCTCCACTGACCACACAGTGAAAATCCTGTGGGATGAGCAGATCTCAGGATATTTTGGTTTTAGATGCAGTTTGCTGATTTCCTAGAAAAACAAGAGAAAAAACATCCAGCTCCAGAGATCCTCAGTGCTCCTGAGCATCCAGTTTGGAGGGGGTTTGTGTTTCCTATATGAGAGCTCGAGGGAAAGTGTCCAACAGGAGGAAATTCCAGCTGAGGACAGGGAGTAGAGCATTGGGTCTGGATTTTATGACCATGTTTGTGACAGACTTTATGCCAGAGTTTTTCTGCATCGTAAAAAGCACTTTATAAAGCCTGGAATAGCACATGAACAGCACAGGCTCAGCCTGAAACTCTGGGTCTGAGAGAGCCCAAGAAAAACCTGGGGAGAAGCAGGATGGGGGTGGGAATTCCTTCTGTGTGTTCTGGAGAAAAGCTCCAGAAGAAAAATTATTAAACACTCACTTTTCTTTGTCCCCACCAACAAATCTGTCTGTGAAATGCAACTGTGATGTGTCTGGATGGCTTTTGTCAGGGGTTCAAGTTCCCTGACCCCCGGGTGAGATCTCTTGGAGTGATGGATAAGGGTGTTTGTAACACGGAGCTGGGCAGCGCTGCAGGAACAGACGCTGGGCTTCAAACTAATGAGGACAATAAATCCTGCAGCCAGAAACCAGAGAAGATCTTTCAAACAACTCCCAAGTGCAGTAAAGCAGCACCACGGATGGGCTGGGGAGCAGGGATGGCCTTCAGACCCAGCCTGGGAGGCTTTGGGAAGAGAGAGATTCCAGCCTGTCCATGGCTCAGGCTGTCAGAGCACTTGGAGCAGCTCCTGGTGGGACCATGCTGAGCTGAGCTGAGCCTTGGGGACAGCCCCTGGTGCTGGCTGGGTGGGAGAACTGCCCTGGGCCTGCGGAAGTTGTAGAATATCTTAGAGTTAGAAGGGACCCACAGGGATCAGAGCCCTGCACAGACACCCCAGCATCTGTGAGCCCCCTGCCATCCCTGCTGAGCTTCAAAGCAGCACACAGCACAAGGGACAAGGTTTTTAATCCAAGGTTTACGCCGAGATTTGGCATTCCACCCAGGCCCAACAGGTTTTCCCTCCTCCCTCCTGTGTTCGCTCCCCTCTTGAAGCTTCTGCCCCAAGCCTGGAGAGCCCCAACCATCAGCAAAGCAGCCCCAGAGCACCCTCACCGCCAGCCCTCTCCATTCCCCGCTCCCAGCCACCCCTCCACGCTCTCCCCCATCCTCCCCACACCGGGCCCTGGGCCCCCTGGCACGGAAGCACACGTGTGGCCAGCACGGCGTTCCCAGCCGGCCACCCAGCCCCAGCAGCCCCTCCGGCCCCGAGGGCTGCCAGGCCGAGCCCTCAGACCTGGCTGACGAGGAGGTTCGGCACATCAACAGCTCGGCCAAAGACTGGGCAGAGGAGCACTCGGACCCCGGCAGCCGCTCCACCTCGCCCTTCACGTCCCCGGCCCCGTCCCCTGTGCCCCTCAAGAACTGCAGCACAAGCAGCCTCTCCCGCAGGGAGAAGGACTTGAAGAAGTTCTACAGCACCGACACCAAGGGCTTCCTCAGCAAGCCCAGCTGGGCCGACGAGCAGCGGCGGCATTCCATCGAGATCTGCCCCTCCGGCGGCGCCCCCGAGCCCGCCGAGGACAAGCAGCGGCCCCCTGGCCACATCCAGCCGGAGGCCGACTACATCCACGGAGCCCGGAGGAAGAAGAAGATGAGCCCGCCCTGCATTTCTATAGATCCTCCCATGGAGGACGAGGGAGCGGCGGCCCCGCGCACCAAACCCTCCGAGAACACCCTGCTGCGGAGGAGAACCCCGTCCTGCGAGTTCCCGGCCTACCGAGAATCCCTGGAGCTCCCGGAGAGCCGAGGGGGGGAGCACCTCAGCATCCCCAACTTCTCCTTCGAGCAGCTGGACGGCGGCGGCTCCTTGAGCAGCCTCTCGGAGCTGCGGGACAGCGGGCAGCCCACGCCGGCCTCCCTGGACTCGCGGCCGGACGCTGAGCCGAGGAAACAGGAGCACTTAAAAACTCAGCGGGGCAACAACGGCAAAGAGGGGGGCAAAGAGCTGCTGGGCACTGCCAAGAGCCCCCCGCGCAAGCAGGACTTGGGCCCCGTGACTGTTGCCACAGAAGAAGGCACGGATGAGCCAGTATAGCTGCTGGGATGGGGGACAGGGGGGGTCTCAAGGGCTGTCACCAATGTGGGGGTTCCAAAGCGAGGGGACCCCGCGGTCAGGGGCGGCCGCCACCGGGGCCGTCCCCTCACTGAGGGCACTCATTGGGAGGAGCTGTGGAAGTTTGCAAAAAAACCACACAAACACACACACACACATATGAAAAAATGAAAAAGAAACCAAACAAGCGGCTGGACGAGACTGGGGATGGGGTTTTGGGGGATTTGGCGAGAGGTTTTGGGGTTTCTTTTCTAAGGGGAAGGTGGATTGATGTAGGGGTGGCTTTGTTCCTCCTACCCCGCTCTGTGGCCTCGATCACATTGATTCGGGTCTGAGGTGGTGGGGGGATTCTCTTGGGGTTTTGTTGTTTTGTTTGGTTTGTTTTTTGGGGGTTTTTTTTAATTTTATTTTTATTTTAAAGATGCTCAACTTTTCCTGAGGCACCTTTTTGAGCTGTCACGTTACGCTGGAGTGCCTGGGAGCTGGACATTGTCTGTATATCAGCAGTTCTATAAATAAAAATTCTGTATTTGTGAGCTACAAAATGAGGAAACAAACAACAAACAAAAAACCTGGAAAAAAAAATAGACCCACAAAAACTCTCTCTTCATAATGCACATATTTTTATAGAGAAACAGAGATGCTGTTTTTTGCATTACATGGGTGGTGTTTCCTTGGGTTTTCTGTGGAATTAATTATTCCAGCCATTCATTTTCCAAATGTTTCTCCTCTCTCCTCGCTTCCCTGCCCTCCACCATCACCCCACCAGCTTCTTCTCACAGCTGATGCTTCTGACGTCTCGCTCATTTTCTTTTGTACTTTAGAGGTTGTCCTAATTACAGACAAAAAAACCAAATCACTACTGAATTGTAGCCAGTGCAATAATAAGTTATTCATTCTTCTTGTCTGTCCAACTGTCCTGTTGCTTTTTTCCCCCCTCTTTTTTTTTAACTGAAATTCAGGTTAAACGTCGCAATAATCTGAACTAATGTGCACAAAGACGGTTTCTTGTGTTACAAAGAGAAAAAAACTAATGAAAAAAAGGAAAAATAACTACATTTACAGAGAGATAAAAAAACTGAACAAATAAATAGTAAATTATTTAAGAAATGTATTTTGTTTACTGCAGTTCTAAGTAAATTATTGATACAGTGTGTAAAGGTGTAAAGAGCTGTCGTAGGTGATGTTCTTTGTGAGCATTTAAGGTGACGATTTGTCCTCCTTGTGACAGAACAACTCCGACCCCTGGGGGCAGTTTGCATTCCCTGTCCCTCCCTCCCCATCCCTGGACACGTTCCCTTCCCAAGGCCCTTCCAGAAGCCTCTAGAGGAATCCAGGTCACCTTTTAACACCTTTTGGGGGTTTTTTTTGCAGCTTTATTTTTGTTTTTACCCTCCTTCCCCACCCCTCCTGCAGGCCCTGTGTCCATGGCCCAGCTTGGCCACGGGAAAGAGGAGCAGGAAGGAGCCCGTGGACACCCAGGGGGGATCAAACCCATGCAGTCGTTTCCGTTTGGTTCCTTCCGTGCCGCCTCATATTTATGCCTTCACATTTATCTTCTGTTATCGATGCATCCATTACTCCAAAGGAAATGTATCTTGTTTCACATCTATTAAACTGTATAAACTGGAAGCGTGGCCTCCCTTTGTGCCGCAGCGGGGGGAGCCCAGCTGTCCCTCCCGCTCCCAGAGCTCGGCATTCCCTGAAAATTCCTTCCTCAGCCTCTCTGGGCTGCAGCCCCCCAGGTGGGAACCATCCCTGCTGGAGCTGGAGGCTTCTCCCACCTCCCCCTGAGCTCAGAGAATCCCTCACCTCTCCTCCATATGTTGATCCGGCTGCTTCCGAGGAGCACCTGCGCCGCTGTAATTAAGAGTCATTTAGAATTATTGTAAATAATGACTCTGTCTCGGTGGGATAGCGAGGAATTCCAGAAAAGAGCCACAAAATCCGTGATTAACAGCGCTTTGGGGAGGACGGCAAACTGCTCTGGCTGCAGTTTAAGGAGGGGAGGTGAATCCCTCTGCTCCAGGCTGAGTCCTGCCTGGAGGGGAGTGGGGGATGCTCCAGGGTGTCCCTCAGCACCAGGGGACACTCAGGGTGTCATTTGCTGCTGGGATTATTTAGCTTTGCTGGAAAAGGCCTGAATTCCCTTCAGGGGGAAAATCCTCTTGCTACAGGGTTCGTGGCTGATGGTGGTGATGGATAGAGATGGAACAACTTGGAAGGGCTCGAGGCCATGGCAGTGTCAGGAATAAATTGGGATATTTGCTCCTGGTTTTGGCTCTCTCAGCCTGCCACCCTTCCCAAAGCCCTTCCCAAACCCCTCAAAGCTCATCAGGACCCAAACCAAACCCATGAGCCTGCAGGAACATCCTGGCAGCATGGGGAGAATCAAGCTCAGACTGAGTTTCCCAAGCGCAGAGAGTGACCATGGGCTGCTCCCTGATGTCTCTTTTGGAGACACTCACCTGGACTTGCAGGTGCAAAACCCCCCCAGCTGCATCCCCAAACCCGGCCATGGCCAGAGAAACGATTTAACATCAGCAGTGTTAATTTTGTTGATTAAATCTCTGCAGCATTAAGCAATTTCCCCCCCCCCCCCCGGACAGTCTGCAAGCCTTGCTTAAGATCGGAAGTGAAAAGCATGGGCTAAATGCAAGTCATGATTATTTAATTGGATCGATTTCTATTTTGCATTTTTAATGGCCATTCAGTCCTGTCCATTAATCAGCCAGACTCTGCCCCAGCACTCTCCATCCCAGCAAAGCCACAGCCCGCAGGGATGGGGGCTGTGTCCATCTGCGCTGGCCCAGAGCCACCTCAGCACCCCTGGAGGAGCAGGAACCAAGCAGGGATTAAAAACCACCATGCTGAGGAAGGAAACCATCACAGGGGCTCTGCTGCAAGGGTAAATCTCAGATGGCATCGATCTGAAATTCTCTCAGTCACGCTGGGGAGGGAAAAAAGCTTTAAAAAATCCCAAGCACCAAATCTGACGCCATCCTGGGTGCAATTAGCCCCAACCTTAATCTGTCAGAACTGTGAGATCATACAGGTTGCATGAATGCTAATAAGCATTTGATATTTGTACAAGCTTTCTGGGGATGAATAATTCAATTGACTTCATCCATTAAATTTCCCCTATTAAGTTTTCAAACCATGGCTGGGTTTTAATGGCTGGGGCCACCTCATCCTCCAGATGAGGGGGCTTAATTAGGAATTTCAGCACACCCGGACAGAGCCACAGGAGCTGAAGTCTCTGTGGCTCTTTGGGTTTTGAGCAGCTCGTGTCTCTGCTGGAGCCCTGGAATAACTCCAGCTCACACCAGGTGAGTGCTCCATCCTCTCCCAGCGTTATGGTGCTGTCACAGGCTGCTTTAGCCTTTTCTTTCCACGGGGTCAGCCCCTCTCTGGAGGTTGGAAAAGTGCTGGGGGCTGTTTGGGATGGGGGATGTGCAGTGGCACTGATGCACTCCCTGGGTTTTGGCACCACTCACTGATTCTGTGGGTCCCTTCCAATTCAGGATATTCTACAGTTCCACAATTCCCTGGCATCACTGATGCAGAGATGTCACCAGGAGTGTCCCACACCCAGCCTGGGCTGCTCCTCATGCCAGGACTCTTCACCTGTGTCCCTCACTTGTAGCTCAGCGTTGGCTTGGTTTTTTCCAACTGTGGATGTTGGGCTATCCAGTGAAAAATAAATCTGTTCACAACAAGAGGGAGAAAATGCCAAGGACCCTCATTAAGTCACACCACAGGGATGATCCAGATTAATGATTTGAATATTTGATTGAAGTCCCCTGGAGCAGCTTCTTCTGATTCTGCTTTGCCCCACGTGGAGGCACAAGCTGCCGAGGGCCCGTGGCCACGTCTGCAGGCTCTGTTGGAAGCATGGCAGAGTTCCCACCTGAGTTATTCCCTAAAAATGCAGCCACCACTGGACACACACAGGAGGGCTCCATGCCTGGCAGAAGAAGGAGCTTTTTTACCCTCCCATCTCCTCCTGCTTTTATTCCTTATGTCCCTGTCAAATCCAGCTGTCCCTCTGGGCACCATCTCCCCGGGTCTGCCTCACCCTCTCCCCTCCCTGCCTCTCTGTCAATTTATTCTGACTGGCTCATTAATTCATTTTGCTCGTTAACTAAAAGAAATCTCACCAATGATAACGAGTTCTAATACAAATTAATTCTTCAGGGAAGACCAGGCACTTCACAGCTCCTTGGCAGCGACAGCGTCTTTGCCCAGCAGGACCCCTGGCATGGGGCTGGCGGCCACATGGACACAGGGATCATCCCTGGAAGTGTCCAAGGACAGGCTGGACAGCAAGCTGGGATAGTGGAAGGTGTCTCTGCCCATGGCAGGGGGTGGAACTGGATGAGCTTTAAGGTCCTTTCCAAGATAAACCATTCTGGGATTCAGCCACAGAACACAAAGCCCACCCAGCCTCACCCAGGTGCCTTCCCAGCACCAGGTAAGTGTATTCAGCAGGAATTACAGCAGGAATGTCCCCCTGGGTGTGCTGCTGTGAGATCCCACTCAGCCCCTGCTGGATTTGAGCAGCAGGAGCAAAAGGCAGGGAAGACAAAGGGCAGGGGAGCTCCCTGCAGCCTCCTGGCAGGCAGGGATGAGTCAACGCTGTGCAAACAACTCTAAAAATACAAAAGCTTTATAGCAGATTAATGACACCATCAAATGTATTTCACTGGCCATTTACCAGGTGTTGATCATAAATATTTGGGATTCAAAATAAACGTCTGTGCTGTGCTACCGTGGTGTTGTTTGTGTCCCTGCCACCCTGCCTGGATCAGCCCTGGGGCTTGAGCAGGTAATGGAGACAAAGGAGCTGCTCCTGCTCCCTCCCTGCAGCACAGGGGGTCCCTCCCCTCTGCTCTCCAGGGATCTGCTGCTCCTGCTGCAGCGGCAGGGGATGAGCCCAGAGCTGGGCTGATGGGCAGGTGTGGGATCTCAGCACCTCAGGACTGAGGTGCCACCGAGAGCACCCTTGGGGGGCTCGGGAGTCCTGGAATGTTCCAGAAGTGTCTGGTGGCTGGACTTTGATCCTACACAGGAGACGACACTTGTATGAGGATAGGAGGGTTTCACCGGGGTGAATGGTGAAGGGATTAGTTAATTAGAGAGTGAAACACAGGGTTTAGGATTTCTGTACAGGGGGGTTTAGAGAAGTAAGATGGAGGAATTGGGGCGTGTCCTGTCCTTCTTCTTCTTCTCCTCCATCTTCTGTGGTGATGGTGGCACTTTGGGATTGGTCATTACTGAAAGTGCACCGGGCAATAAGGGGGAAAAGTATTGGGGAAAAATGATAAATATTGTACACGTAACCATGGGTATAAAGATAGGTGACTGTCCGGAGGGCAGGACAGTGTGCTCATGGCTGGCTGCTGAGCAGAGCTCTGTCGGGCCGAAAGAAAATCTTTTAGATAAACAATTAATAAACACAGAGACCGAAAGAAGAACTGAAGCCTCTTCTCGTCCTTTGATACGCGGCTGCCCCAAGGCCACTCCGGGCCTTTCCAGGCCCTCCAAACAGCCGAAAACCAGACAGGCAGGAGGTGCAGCCCCTGCTGGCACTGCAGCCCCTGCCTGCCCTCCCCGGGGCTCATCCAGGGCTGATTCCAGGGGAACCCAGGGAAAGGGCTCAGCACAACTCTCCAGCCTCCCTGGACCCAGAGCCAGGCAGCCTGGGCAGGTCACAGTGCCTGGGTCAGATTCAGGAGCTCCAGTGACATCTCTCAGCAGTTTTGGGAATTTTTTTTCCATTTTTCCAGCCCTTGGCTCTTGCTGGGAATGAAGCAATCCTAATTCCCTCAGCTGTTCCACTCTGCCCCCAGCGCAGAGGTCAGTGCTGCAGGGACACTGGGACACTCTCCAGGAGCTGGGATCCAACCTGGAAGAGGTGACAAGTCAGTGATCAGCAGGAGCCTGTCCTTCCTCCTTTTTTACAGGAATCCTCCCTCCAAACACCCCAGGGAGGATTCCTGTAAAAATCACAGTCCTGGAGAAGAGGAGAATGTTTTAAACAGCCTGGAGAAACAGCAGCATTGCTAAATAACACCCATGGGGTCACCACCATCCACAAACCTTCATCATGCTTGGAAATCAAACTCTCTGATGGAGCATTAATTAAGTTTTCCAGCAGGATAAAACCACTTCCTTGCTTGGGATTTCACTCTGCTCACAAAGATTAAAAATACAGCTAATTAAAACAAGGCTGGCATGCAAAGAAGGGAGGAATAAAAAGTCCTGCTATGGCTGGGAGGGGACAGAGTCCTTCCAGATGCAGGTACAGATGACTCATGGCTGCTGAATAACCCCCCTGCCGTCTCTCTGCCGTGGGGAAGGTCTCCTATTGCTGGGAGAACTCCTCCAGCAGCTGTATATCACCTGCCAGGCAACAAAAATGTCCTGAAATTGGCTCCAAGGTAGCTGGTAGCCAAGTGCAGTGTTAATTAAACAGCCTCACTAGCTGCTCCAGACAGCTGCTCCAGAACTTCCCCCCCAACCCCTGATCATTTTCAGTTCAAATGAATTCTTTTCCCTGAAGCATTTCTGAAGGGCTGTGGAGAAAGGATAACATTTCAGGCATTCCCTCCCATCCCTCCTGCTTCCCTGTCCCATTCTTCTCTCAGCCAAATTTGTCTGGCCTGAAAAACTGAGTTGAAATAGGCACTGACAGAGAACACATCTACTGAAATGTGGAAGGGCTCCCTCCACTCCTCCCACACTTCCCCAGAGGGTCTGGCAGCAATGAACCACCCCGAAAATTCCTCAGGGAGAGGGGAAGGTGGCCGGGGATGTGGAAGGGAGGAGAAGGACGAACAACAGCCAGGCTGGGCAGCCTCCATGGCACTGATATGGTGTGTGGGCAGCAAATTCCCTGGCACAACCACGGTCCTGATGGGCCAGCACGGTGTCACCAGTCCAGAACTGTCACAGCACCAGGCCAGCCTGAGAAGAAGCTTGTTTACCTTCCCCTCTTACCCCTGCATTTATTCCTTATGTCCCTGTCAAATCCAGCTGTCCCTCTGGGCACCATCTCCCCGGGTCTGCCTCACCCTCTCCCCTCCCTGCCTCTCTGTCAATTTATTCTGACTGGCTCATTAATTCATTTTGGTCGTTAACCAAAAGAAACCTCACAAATGATAACGAGTTTTAATACAAATTAATTCTTCAGGGCCAGCACCATGTCACCAGGCCAGCCCCATCCTGTCACCCTCACACCGTGGCCACCATCAAAACAAAGTCACCCTCAGCAGATCTCAGCGGGTGCAGCTCTTAGAAAGCCCCAGCACATCCATCCTTATTTACACACCAAACTCCCCCTTTCCTTTTTTAATTAGAGCGGGATAATTAACGCAGCACCGTGCTGTTCCCTCCTTTTCCCGCCCCCATCCACACCAGCGGTGTGAGGGCGTTTCTCCCGCTCGCCATAATCAACACCCGCCCTGCTGAGGGCACCGCGGGCCCCTCTCCTCAGCGCTGGGGCTGAGCCTCCAGAGAGCACAAAATCCACCATTTCCCTCCTTCTCCCTGCCAACACCAACTGCTCTGGCCCTTGCCCGGCAGCATCATCTAGTGGCCATGGCCTCCACACATGGAATTGTAGGATAGGGAATATCCCGAGCTGGATCATCCCAGCCCGTCCTGGGATCCCGCCCGGCTCCAACCACCCCAAACCTCCGCCCTGTGCATCCCTCAAAGCGCTGTCCCTATAGTCCGGCAGCTTTGGGGTCGTGCCCATCGCCTGGGCAGGCCGAATCCTCGGTTGGGGTTGCTTCAGGCTGATATTAAATGATTATAATGATAAATAAAGTTCTGGACACGTGGCGGTGCGAGCATAACGGGGCAGCGCCGGGCGGGCTCAGCGGCTGAGGGGAGCGGGTAGGATCCGCACGGAGACAGCTGTGCCGGGGGTGCTGGGGGTTCCAGAGGTGGGGTGGCCACGTTTTGGGGCGATTTTAGGGCGATTTTGGGGCGTTTTGCGGACCGCGAGTCCCGCGAAGAGAAGCGAAGCGCGGCGCCGGGGAAGTTTGGCCACTGCGCCGCCCCGTCCGTCGCCACGACAACCAGCGCGCCCGCCATGGCGGCGCCCAGCGTGTTCCTGCTGGCCGTGAGCGGCGAGATCGAGAGCGGGGAGGTGCGGGAGAGCCGGGGACACCGCGGGACACACACCGGGACAGCGCGGAGGGAGGGGGGGGTCGCCCTGGCTCGGTCTCGGTGCTGCGGCCGCCCGCGCGGGATGGGAATCTGCTCACCCTGAACCTGGCTGGCCTCAGCCCCAAACCCAACCCATCCTCATCCCGCCCAAACCTGCGCAACCTCAGCGCCCAAACCCAACCCTGCACACCCTGAGCCCCAAACCTAACCCATCCTCATCCTGCCCAACCCTGCACACCCTCAGCCCCCAAATTCAACCCATCCTCATCCCACTCAACCCTGCACATCATCAGCGCCCCCATAACCCTGCCTGGCTTCATCTCCCTTCATCCCTGTCTTAGACCCTCCCAAACCCATCCCAGCCTCATTCCCCAAACCCATCCCAGCCTCATTCCCCAAACCCATCCCAGCCTCATTCCCCAAACCCATCCCAGCCTCATCCCCCAAACCCATCCCAGCCTCATCCCCCAAACCCATCCCAGCCTCATTCCCCAAACCCAGCCCAGCCTCATCCCCCAAACCCATCCCAGCCTCATTCCTCAAGCCCATCCCGTCTGTCCCAGTCTCGCTGGCACATCTGCCATCAGCACCCTGACTCGGGCAGATCTCACCCCCAGAAATTCCCAGTGAATTCCCAGTAATCTCTCTCTCTCCCGCAGTTCCCGGGATTCGATGATCTCTACTGCAAGTTCTCCTTTGTCTACGGCCAGGACTGGGTCCCCACGGCGGTACCGCCCCTGTCCCCACCCCGTGTCCCGCTGTCCCCACCCCCGGGCTCGGCCCCAGGCTCACCCCCTGCTCCCCGCAGGGCCTGGAGGAGGGAATCTCGCAGATCACCTCCAAGAGCAGCGTCTCGCCCACCACGCTGGTCTGGAACTTCCCCATCGACATCACCTTCAAGAGCACCAACCCCTTCGGCTGTGAGTGCTGGGGGGGGTCTGGCCCGGGTGCCAAAGCCCCCCCTCACCCCCATTTCCTTGCAGGGCCCCAGATTGTGCTCAGTGTCTACGGGCCTGACTTCTTTGGCCACGATGTGGTCCGGGGTTATGGAGCTGTGCATGTGCCCTTCGTGCCAGGCAGGTGAGTGCCAGCCTGACCTGCAGGGCTCAGACACATTCCTGAAACAAAAAAATTCCCAAAAACCTCCTCACCGTGCCCTGTCGGTTCACAGAGATTTTCTAGCAGAATTCTTCCATCATTAAATAAGTTTTGGTCATCCTGTAAAGCCCAAACTGGCCTGGAAAAAGGCCAGATATGATGGTCAGTTCCTCACACAATAAATTCTCATTTATTGGAGGATGGAACAGAGGAAGATCTGTGGTTCCTGTGCAAACAAAGCCTTTCTGTGTGAAGGGAAAATTCCTGGTTTGTCAGGAATTCTGTGCCTTCATAAATATAAAAATCCTGGGTTTTATTAATTCCTAAGGTTCTGGGCTCTCCTCTTTGTTTCAGGCACAAAAGAACCATTGCCATGTTTGTCCCTGAGTCCACCTCGAGGCTGCAGCAGCTCACCAGGTAACAATTAATGACTTTCATTCATTAAGGAATTAATTTCTCTCCTGTTCTCAGCCACAGAGGCATTTGCAGCCACTCAGTGGTGCAGAGGTGTCACTGCTCTGTGCCATAACCAGCTTTGTGTTCTGTGGGTAAAAATCACATTTTCAGGTGATTTGAAAAGCTTTCATAAAGCTATTAACAACAATTAATATAATATAATATAATATAATATAATATAATATAATATAATATAATATAATATAATATAATATAATATAATTCTGTTATACACTATATTATAAATAATATAAACATTATATATTCTATTATCTATATTATATAATATTATACAATAATATATAATATAATATAACAGACATATTAATTACCTGCTAACTACACTAAATTACTGCCTGAATCTTCTTGGGCCTGTTTTGGAAGGACAGCCACAGGAAGAGCAAACCCATGAAAAAACAATTCCCAATCCAATTTTTTTTTAAGAAATTCAATAAGTATTTTTCAACAATATCTTTGCCACAGAAAGATTCTTCTAACCCAGAAAAAAAAATATTTAACAAAATCTATATGGGACCAGTTGCATTTTTTTTCCTTAAGGCAAAACTTACCTTTGATTGAATTAAATCAATAAAGAGAATCAGGTTTCAAAACCCTCCTGGCAGTCTCACTAACATCCATCTCATAGCCTGGTTCAATCTCAGCCACCCAATTCATTATTTTGTAGTTTGCATTCATTATTTTGCATTTTGTATTCAATGATTTTATTTTGCATTCATAATTTTGTATTTTGCATTCAATTCATATTTCAAATTAATTACTTTGTACTCAGTAATTTGTATTTTGAATTCAATAATTTTGTATTCAATTATTAGTGTTTTGAATTCAATAATTGTATTTTGTATTCATAATTTTGGTTTTTTGCATTCATTATTTTGTATTTTGAATTCATTCATTTGTATTTTGAATTCGATAATTTTGTATTTTGTATTCAATGATTTGTTTTCTGTATTCATTATTTTGTTTTTGTATTCTTTGTTTCGTATTCATTAACTTGAATTCATTAATTTGAATTTTGTATTCAATATTTTGTGTTTTGTATTCATTCATTTCTATTTTGCATTCATTAATTTGTATTTTTCTCCAAGCTGGTTCACAGGGAGGCGCCCGGAATTCACCGACCCCAAGGTGGTGGCACAGGGAGAGGGAAGGGAAGGTGAGTCCTGGCAGCTCCTGCCTGCTGCCAGAGAGCTCCACGTGAATCCCTTTCATTAATCTCTAATTAATCTTTAATTAATCCCATCCCCTCCCCTGTGTGCAGTGACCAGGGTGCGCTCCCAGGGCTTTGTCACCGTTTCCTTCAACGTGATCACCAAGGACCTGCACAAGCTGGGCTACGACGTGGGCCAG